GGCTGATGCTCTAACTGCTGAACCAAACTGGTCAGGGCTGGCTTGGGATTCTAGATAGGGTCATTTTAGAAAGTCTCACAGAGAAGGGGACATTGGATCCAAGACTTCCTGTTTCTCAAACACACCAGGAGCTTGTTGTCCTCAGGGCCTTTGCACAGCCTGAAATGCTCTTCCTCCAGATATCCAAGGCCTCTCCACACCTCCTTTGGTCTATTTCAATTGTCAGGTTTTTTCCTAATCACATTCTTCTTCTTATAAAATTGAGATATAATTGACAGGTGTACAACATAATGGTTCAATATTTGTATATTTTGTGAAATCATTGCCACAATAAGTCTAGGTTACATCTGTCACAACACAGTTACAATCTTTTTTCTTGTGATAACAACTTTTAAGATCTACTCTCTGAAAACAGTATTATTTCTGGGTATGGATTGGGTATCTATTCTGGAATGCATGTAGAAGTGTGTTTAAAGACGTGAAAATCATGCTTTTATGAGTGTTCCTTGTTCATGTAGTTCTGAATGGTGTTTTAGTGAATGGGTATATAGACAGTTCTGTAATGCATGGAGAGAAGTGTCTAGCAACACATGCAACAAATATATTTCTAAGAGTATTATCTAAATAACAAAACACAAAAAATTTACTCTCCTAGCAACTTTCAAATATACCCAATCATCTTCTTAAACATAAGCATTTAATGTTCCAACTTTCCCACTGTTTTACCTGCATCCCACATAGTTTGATATGATATGCTTTTGCTTTCATCCAATTAAAAATATTTTGGCCCGGCCAGTGTGGCTCAGTGGACTGAGCATTGTCCCATGCACCAAGAGATCACCGGTTCGATTTCCAGTGGGGGTACATGCCCACGTTGTGGGCTTGATCTCCAGTAAGGGGCATGCAGGTGGCAGCCAATTGATGTTTCTCTCTCATCGAGGTTTCTATCTTTCCCTCTCCCTTCCCCTCTCTCTAAAAATCAATAAAAACATATTAAAAATATATATAATTTTTGACTTCCTCTTTGACTCATGGGTGTGACTTGATTTCTGAATATTCGCAGATTTTCCAGATATCATTCTGTGGTTTCTAGTTTAATTTGGTTCTGATCTGAGAACGTGCTTTGTAAGATTTCTGTTCTGTGAGCTCCTTTTTGTTGCAAGGGATTTATTTATTTATTTATTTATTTATTCATTCATTTATTTATTTATTGCTTCACCAATGGATCCTTAGTACCTAGCACAGGGCCTAACACATAGTAGGTGGTCAATACATATCATTTGAATGGCTGAATGAACCACTGAAACCTCCATCCCTTTTGGATATATCAGTAAATAGTTGCTCAGAGATGGGATGGGAGGGTGAGGTCACACAGCAAGAATAGGGCAGAACTCAGGTCAGCCTGGGGCCATGGTCTTATGTTATACCCAGTGGATGGGACTGGATTCCACTGCCAGTTCCTCAGTGCTTACTGTGAGCCAGGTCCCAAGGAATGGCCTAGGCCATGGGCCATCACTCCCACAATCTCCACGTACCTTGCTTCAGGCCACCCACCTCAAAAGGCACCCTTGATAGGCAGAGATGCTGCTGGTCCTCTTGGTTGGTGTACCCCACTCCTACCTCTGTCCCCTCCCTTTTTCCTGACCCCCTATGTCCACACATGCTCCCTGTGTGTGCTCTGTGGGTGTTTGCTGGGCAGACAGCTCTTTCTTCCTTCCTTCTCAGACTTTCCCAACAGTAGAATGGGACCATCCCCATCATTCAGTATAGCAGGGGACAGCCTGGCCCCCAGGTTAACTTTATCTGGAAAGGGAGGCTGATCTGTTGCCCCTACCTCCTTAGATAGGGCTGGGCCCCCCACTTCCTTCTGTGCTGGGGACAGTTTTCCACTCGTCAAGACTGCTCATTGCCAATATTGAGACTGTGAGGTGAGATACAAATTCTGTTTTGTGGCAATTACTTTTGTTCTGAATCTCTGTTATAGCAAACCAGAATGCTACTTTGATTTGTATGTGGGCTGGATGGAATTTCTCGTTGTTTAAGCCAACCTGGGTTGTATTTCCTTTTATTGGTAGTGGAAAGCCCCTAAAAAGGGGAATTAGGACCTTGTACTTTGGGGTATCAAAAGTTTAGTGACTTAAAACAGCAGAAATTAATTCTTTTATAACTCTGGAGGTCAAAAGTTCAGACTGTTTCATGTGGCTTGATCAGCAGAACTACCTTCCCTCAGAAGATCTAGTGGGAGAGTCAGTTTTCTTGCCTTTTCCAGAGTTGCCTTCCTGGTCTCATGGCCTCTTCCTGTATCTTCAAGGCCACCACTATAGCATCTAGCTTCAGAGGAAGGGGAGGGAGATTTGAGACACAGAGACATAAAGAGAGAAGGCCATGTTAAGACAGAGGCAGATATTGGACAGCCACAAGCCAAGGGGTGCCAGGAGTCTCCAGAAGCTGAAAGAGTCAGGAAGGTCTCTCCCCTAGAGCCTTCAGAGAGAGAGAGCATGACCCTGCTGACACCTTTATTTCAGACTTCTTCCCCCCAAGAGAAATGATATAGCAACACAATATATATATATATATATTTATTTAATCCTCACCCGAGGACATTTTTCCAATTTTTGTACAGATAGAGTGGGAGGGAGAGAGAGGAAGAGAGAAACATCGACGTGAAAGAGACACATCGAGTGGCTGCCACCCGCATGACCAACCAGGGCCGGGGACAAACTGCAACCGAAGTACGTGCCCTTAGCGGGAACCGAACCCGGGTCTCTCCGGACCGCAGGCCATCGCTCTAACTGCTGAGCCAAACTGGCCAGGGCTAGCAACACAATATTTAAAAAAAGAAATGATGCGTAACCTGATGACCTGATATACAGGTACATTGTAAAATATTCACCTCACAGTTGCCATTTTCCTTTTTTTTTTTTGTAGTGAGAACACTCTAGATCTACTCTCTTAGCAAATTTCAAGTACACAGTACAATATTGTCAACTAGTCACATTGCTTACACCAGTTCTCCAGCACTTATTCATCTTGTACAACTGAAGCTTTGTAACCCTTGATCAACATCTCCTCATTTTGCCCCTGGCAGTCACCTCTCTGCTTCTACTTTCTGCTTTTGTGAGTTTGACTACATGGAGGGCAAGGGGGAAAGCAGGTAGAGCAAGGGGGAGGTTATGACTGCAATTCAGGTGAAAGATGACGATGGCTCAGACCAGGATGTGAGAAGGGCTCAGATGCTGGCTATATTGTGAAGGTAGAGCCAACCAGACTTACTAACCTTTGGCCAGAAGATAGGAAGACTCATAGAGCTGGAGGTGATTCTAATGTTCTGGGGGCTGGAATCTTTGGCACCTGGGCTGAGCTGAGACTGTTGTGTGGAACACCTCCTGGTGACCTCCATGTGGTTTGGGCTTTCTCACAACATAGCACTGGGAGCACACGTTCTGATAGAACCAAGTGGAAGCTGCATGGCAGAGGTCACTTCTGCCACATTTTATTGGTTATAAGAGACTCACTAAAGCCAACCCAGATTCAGTGGGAGAATTAGACCCTACTCCTTAAGGAGTGGCAGGGTCACACTGCATAAGACCATGTAGGACATGAAATATGCTTGCAGACATCATTTGAAAATTTCCTTTGCCATAGCCATGGAATGAGAGAGAAAGGAGAAGCCATGGATAATTATAAGGCTGTTGGGCCCAAAGGCTGATGATAGTCCTTTTGAGAAATACAGGCAGGCTGCCCCCTTGAGCAAGGTTCTCCAAATGGCTTCAGGCTGGTTATTTCACTGCTTTTAATTGGCTCACAGGAAGCTCTCATATACTTGCTGTACCAAAAGAAGCAACCACTCCTACTGCAGCCCTTTTTTCTAGGTCTATCCTTTCACTTTATGCTGTTTTGAGTGTGAGCCAAAACCTCATGTTTTGGCTTTCCCATGGGGTAGGCTGATCTTTCTCTCTCTCTCTTCAACTTTCACTTTTTAAATACCCACCAGTCAACGTCAAGCTAAGTGTGAAACAACTTCCTTTGCAAGTTTTGTATATATGATTGCAGTAGCCAGCTTTCATGTTGGCCCCGATGATCCCTACATCTTGGTATTCACCTCCTTGTGCAGTCTCCTTCCACAATGACTCACAGCCGGTCCATGTGACAAATAGAGTACAGTGGAGATCATAATTTGGGATTGTAGGTTAGATAATAAAAGGCGTTGTGGTTTCCACCTTAGCCTCTACTATGTGGTGAGGACACTCAATCAGCCTTTTGGGGAGGCTCCCATGGTAAGGAACTGTGGCCTTACACTGGGAACCATGTGAAGGCACCATGTTGAAAGAGGTTCTTTTAGCCCCAGTTGAGCCTTCAGATGATTGCTGGCCTGATCAACATACTGACTGCAAACATATGAAGATCCCAAGCCAGAATCACCTAGCTAAGCTGCTCTTGCATTCCTGAACCACAGGAACTATGAGATAAGTGCTGTTGTTGTTTTAAGTCACTACATTTGGGGGTAATTTTTAATGCAGCCATAGTTAACTAATCTAGTGTCCTAGCACTTCACTTCAGAATGTGGGAGTACTTAGCATCTATCACTTTAACATCTTGTTACAAAAGCGGCCACTTCCAGAACACCATCCCTGATCTCTTCTCTACATTAGCCCCCATCCTATCTCATTACCCTGTTTAATTAAAAAAATATTTAATCACTATTTGAAATAAAATAAAAACTATAGTGTTTATTTCTATATTTCTTTACTGGTTTATTGTCTCTTCTATCTTGATGGAACATTCCGTGGAGGAAAGAGTTTACCAATCTTTTCCACTCAGGGTGTGGCACCTGTAGAAACTCAAATGCAAGAGTTGGTGTTACTGTTACTTCTAAGCATGAGAAGAAAGTTGCGTGTATGTATGTGTGGTCTGGGGGGGGGGTCCCTTTAAGATGGTTTTGCATGTACTTCTCTTAAAAAAGGGAACTGAGAGGAGCCCCAGAAATCTGAGCAGGAAGAACAGGGGACAGAAGCTGTCAGGCTCTGGCTGCACCTTTTGAGCCTCTTGTGTTAGCTGTAGCCATGCAAACCCTGTATAATAATTCTGGGTGCCGGGACCTGCCAGGTATGGCCCTGGCGAGACTCAGGTTGGGGGCCAGGGGCAGTCAGGACCCAGGTTACGGTATCTCCACCCCAGGGCTGAAAACTGGGGCCTGAAGGACAGAGGGGGAAATGGGATGGGTGCTCACTTGCCTTTCCTCTGCAAGGGACTACAGAGGATGACCAGGATGATGATGATTATGAGAACATGGCGCCATCCTACAAGGACCTTCCTCCCAAGCCAGGTAAGAGGACTTCTCAGAGGCTAGGTGAAGAGATGTGTGGTTTGTGGGATGGAGGGGGAACTAGTTCTCCAGGGGACACTAGCTGGGCTTTGTAGACACACGGTCAGTTTCCTGTGTACTCAGCCCATGCCAGGTACTCTGATGGTGGGAGTACTAATGTCTCTACCCTGTCCTTGATGATATCTCAGGCTGGTGGGGAAGTCAGTTCTGGGAACAACTGCAGGTGAGCAGATCTGAAGGGGGATAAACCAAAAGATTGGAGAAATCCTGAGGGAAATAGAGGACTCTGCCTGCAATGGTGGGAGGATTGAGGATCAGAAGAGGGGATATGAGAGTAGGACTTGAGGGATGAGTAGGAGTTTGTTAGGAAGAGAAGCCCAGAAGAGAACTGGTGGATGCAAAGGCCCAAAGACATGAAAGCTGGTGTTTAAGAAACTGAGAGTGAACTATTGGCTCCCCAACCTCCTCGCATTCACACCTCGGGCCCAGATTTGCCATTCAACTTGAGTGGCCCACACCTGGCCCAGGAATCAACAACAGTCTGATAAGTGGGTATAAAAGTGGAGATTTTTGGAAGTTTCTGAGTCAACTTTCACCAGGACCCCTGAGGGCTAACCATATTTTTAACAGATTTGCCATTAATAGAATTAAAAAAAAATATTTTTCATTGATTTTTAGAGAGAGAGGAAGGGAGAGGGAGAGAGAGAAAAACATCAATGTGATAATAAAACATTGATCAGCTGCCTTCTGCATGCCCCCTACTGAATATTGAGCCTGCAATCCGGGCAGGTGCCCTGACCAGAAATTGAACTGGCAAATTTTCAGTGCACAGGATGATGCCCAACCAATTGAGCCACACTGGCCACCGTTTGACTCTGCTATTTGACTGCATGTCTCCAGCTTCAACCTGGTCCCAAGATGATTCTCAAACCTAGGTCTAAGATTAATCCCATCACCATCATCAGGGCCACCCCTTCCCTAAACTTCACCCCCTTCCTATCTTCAAGTACAGCTATATCTCCATCCCCATCTCCATTTCCAAGCCCAATGCCATCATCATGCCCCAACACAACCACAACCCAACCTCAACTTCTTCCCTTTTTCCAAACCCAAGTTCAAGCCAGTTCAACTTCTTCTCCATCCCCCAACACAGTTATGACCCTATTCTTCATCTCAACCACATCCACATCCTGGATCACAAACCTACTCCCATGTTCATCACTATCCTTAACGCATCCTCAATCCTATTCTCATCTCAATCCAAACCCTCATGCCAACCCCAACCTTAACTTTATCCCTATCCCTAAAGTTAACTGTCTTTAACTTAGGGTGACCAACAGTCCCAGTTTTCCCAAGGATGAATGAAAGATTTCCTGGGATGTAGAACTTTCAGTTTTAAAACTAGGAAAGTCCTGGGTAATCCGGGAGGTTGGTCATTGCATCTTAATCCTGTCCCCATCTCTAACCCCGATTTTATTCTCATGCCAAACCCCATCTATTACAATCTCAATCTTGTTTGCATCAGTTCCTGTGATCTCATTTTCATTCACAGGTCAGCTCTAACTCTGAGGTTCTCTTCTTCAGGTTCAGTACCTCCACGAAGGCCTCCAAAGGCAGGTGAGCTGGGGCTCGGGGTATAAGAGACCTACTGCGGACTTTACCCTGCTCGGGGCCTGAGAAAACCTTTCCTTCCTCCTCAGGAAGAAAACCAGAAAACCCCCCACTTCCTCGCAAGCCCCTGGAGATCACAGGTGAGAATCTAGGGCTGAACCTTTGTGTTCACCTGGCTGATGCCAGGCTTTGCATGACCATTATCTTTCTGACCCCCACCAGGCCTGGACCTCACCCCTGTTACCTGCACATCTCAACTTGGTGAGCCATGGGAAGACCCTTCAAGAAGCCTGAGAGGATGCCTGGCCAGTGTGGCTCAGTTGGTTGAGCACTGTCCCATGCACCAGAAGTTTGCTGGTTTGATTCCCAGTCAGGGCATATAACTGGGTTGCAGGCTTGATCCTCAGTAGGGGGCATGCAGGAGGCAGCCGATCAATGTTTCTCTCTCATCTCTCATAGATGTTCTATCTCTCACTCCCTCTTCCTTCCTCCCACTGGGGGAGGGGCAGGGGAAGAAGCCTGAGAAGGGACACCTGGAAATCTTTCCTCTAGTCCCCCAATTCTGACTAGAAAATGAATCAGGGGATAAAGTCTTGTTGATCTTGGAAGACAGAGTCTTTCAGCAACTTCTGAATAAAACTCTCTTCCCCTTTCTCCTAGGCATTGCTGTGGAGATTCCGCCATTCCAGCCATCTGAAGCCAGTAAGTTAGTCCTCTACATGTTCTCCTATCTCTCTTCTCACAGTGGCTACAGTATTTGAATCATATTTGTAGTTCTGCAGTGAGACCATAGGGCAGAGAAATGTTTCTTCTCAGAAGCTACTTCTCCCTGAGTCTAGCCCAGACCCCAGGGGCCCAGGGTGTCTGCCAGGTACTCTTTGGGGTCCACCTCCTGCTTGCCTGTAAGGTACAGGAAATATTCTCTGCCCAGATGCAAGGGTCCATAGGCTTTCTTGAATGGAGAGAAGCTTGGGCAGGAACTGCTGGAGGGCAGAAGACAATGCATCATAGAAGTTAACGGCAGAGCTGGGTTTAAGTCATGCATGAACTCTCAGTTTACTCATGTGCAAAAAGGGAATAATATATCTATGTCATAAGGGTGAGGCTTCAATAAGATAATAAGTCTGTAACAGGATGCTTGGCACACAGTAAGTGCTCCAAACACACTCTGGACTTCTTCAGGGTTTTCTCTCCCTGACACTCTCTTGCTGACTCCATCCGGTGATGTAGTCATGACTATAGATCTCTGTCCCCGTGCTTTTGGAGAAAGGCTCAAGGGTCCTTTCCCCACTTCTCAAGCACTAGTATTGGTCTCTCTGTCCCAATCTCCACCCCCAGCAACTCCAGTGCCCTGGCTCAGTCAGAATTCTGGGGGTCCTGGGTGCTACCTGGAGGAGAGATGGCTGGTTTTCCTGTATCTGCTGGTGTTGCTGTCACTGTTCCTGGGCTGCACTGGTCTGGCTATAACCCTGATTAAGTGTGAGTAGGGTGAAGATGGGATATGTGGAGAGGTGGGGATGGGGTACAGGAGGTCTTTGGCTCAAGCTGGATTCCTTCTCATAGACCAGGAGGTGGTAGAAGAACTGAAGATGTTAACCTTTCAGCAGATGGCGTGGCAAGCAAATAGTGAGTGTTTTCAATCATCCCATCATGCCATGTTCATGTATATAATTTATTTTTATTGTTAAGAGTATTATAGATGGCCCCTCATTGCTTCCCTCCACCTGGTTTCTGCATCACCCTAGGCCTTCACCACACTATTTTCTATGTCCGTGGATTATGCATGTAAGTTATTTGGTTATTCTCTGCTTGCCCCTCCCTCCCCTCTTCCCTCTGAGATCTGTCTGTGTCTGTCTGGCTTCCATGCCTCCCGGTCTATTTTGTTTGTTGGTTTATTTAGTTCATTAGATTCCACATATAAGTGAAATCATGTGATATGTACTTTTCTCTGACTGGCTTATTTTGCTTAGTATAATACTCTTGAGGCCCTGGCTGGTTTGGTTTGGCTGTTAAGAGTGTTGGCCCGCGGACCAATGAGTCGCGGGTTTGATTCTGGTCATGGGCATGTATCTCGGTTGCAATTTGTCCTTGGCCCTTGCTGGGATCATGCCGGAGGCAGCCACTCCATGTGTCCCTTTTACATCAATGTTTCTCTCTCTCTCTCTCTTTCTCATACTCTATCTGAATAAAAATGGAAAAGTGTCCTCAGGTGAGGATTAAAAAAAAAAAACTCACCAGGTCCCTCCATGTTGTCTCACAGGGTAAGAGATCCTTCTTTACTTTTATTTTTATTGTTTTTATTTTATTTTTATCTTTATTGTTGACTGTATTACAGATGTTCCTCATTTTTCCCCTATTGACCCCCCTCCTCCCCCCACTGTTGTCTGTGTCCATTGGTTATGCATATAAGTTCTTTGGTTTATTTCTTCCCACCCCCCAACCCCCTTCCCTTTGAGGTTTGTCAGTCTAGCAACCAATTTGTACTTCTTAATTCCTTCACCTTTTTCACACATTCCCCAACCCCCTCCCATCTGGCAACCAACAAATTGTTCTCTGTATCTATGAGATTGTTTCTGTTCTGCCTGTTCATTTTGTTTGTAGATTCAATTGTTGATAGATATGTATTCATTGCCATTTTGTTTGTTCATATATTTTATCTTTTTCTTCAAAAAGACCCTTCATATAACAATGGTTTGGTGGTAATGAGTTCCTTTAACTTTTTCTTGTCTGGGAAACTCTTTATATGGCCATCGATTCTAAATGATAGCTTTGCAGGATAGAGTAATCTTGGTTGTAGGTTCTTGCTTTTCATCACTATGAATATTTCTTGCCACTCTCTTCTGGCCTGCAAAGTTTCTTTTGAGAAATCAGCTGACAGTCTTATGGGAACTCCGTTGTAGGTAACCAACTGCTTTTCTCTTGCTGCTTTTAAGATTCTCTTTTTGTCTTGAACCTTTTGCATGTTGATGATGATGTGTCTTGGTGTGGGCCTCTTGGTGTTTCTCTTGTTTGGGACTCTCTATGCTTCCTGGACTTGTATGTCTGTTTCCTTCACCAAGTTAGGGAAGTTTTCTGCCATTATTGTTTCCAATAGGTTTTTGATTTCTTGTTCTCTCTCTTCTCCTTCTGGCACCCCCAAGATGCAAATGTTGGCATGCTTGAAGTTGTCCCAGAGACTCCTTACACTATCCTCATTTTTTTGGATTCCTTTTTCTTTTTCCTGTTCTGATTGGGTGTTTTTTGCTTCCTTATATTCCAAATCGATGGTTTGCTTCTTGGCTTTACCTACGCTACTATTGAATCTGTGTAAATTATTCTTTATTTCAGTTAATGCCTCCTTCATTTCTGAATGTGCCTCCTTCATTTCTGACTGGTCCTTTTTTTATGCTCTTGAGGCCCTCACTGAGTTTGCTGAGGTTCTCACTAAGTTCATTGAGTATCCTTATAAGCAGTATTTTGAACTCAGCATCTGTTAGGTTGCTTATCTCCATTTCACTTAATTCTTTTTCTGGGGTTTTGTTCTGTTCTTTCATTTGGGACCTGTTTCTTTGTCTTCTCATTTTGGCTGCCTCCCTGTGTTTCTATGTATTAGTTAATGAGAGGTATGGGGCTAGATGAGACCAGATGCTACTTGTTTGAAAGAATTTAGGAAAACCTGGAGCAGGATCCAAGACAGGTCAATCCTATGCTAAAGCAACTGGCAACAGCTTGGGTGGACCTGAAAGTTGCCTGGGGCAGGGCCTCAGGGAATCGCCAGCGCAGGGCAACCAGTGTGAGCCAGGTTGCTGGAGTCCCAGATATGGCAGCTGTCTGCCACCCCAGGAAAGGGCTCACCAAAGGAACGAAGGCCTCTGACAGCACATTTGTCCCCGGAGAAAGCCCCTTTCCAGCCCTTGCTCCAATGCCAAACAGCTCAGTTCTTCCCTGTATGTCTCTGGCACCCCTCGAGTGCCTCCCCTCCAAGCTTAGAGGGAGCGAGTCTCATAAGTCCGTACGCAGGCCCTTTAAGAGGAGCTGCCTGGGGCTCCAGCTGCCTCAGCCTCCCTCTGCCTCAGTTCCTGCTGGTTTTAGAGCCAGAAGTCATGGGGTCTTCTCTTTCTGGCACTGCAACCCTGAGCGGGGTGCCTGGTAGTACAGGGACCCCTCAGTCCTCAGGGAGGACCTTCCCAGCCGAGGTGTCCTCCTTATTTTTATCTGCCACATGTGGGTGTGGGACCAGCCCATCTGCCTCCGCCCCTTCTACCAGTCTCAATGTGGCTGCTTCTTTAATTCTGTAGTTGTAGGACTTCCATTCAGCTTGATTTCAGGAGGTTTCAAATGATGGTTGTTCTGTAGTTTAGTTGTAACTTTGATGTGGTTGTGGGTAGACGCGATACCGCTTTTACCTATGTCACCATCTTGACTAGAAGTTCCGAGATTCTTCTTTTCTACAGCTTCATAGTATTCTATTGTGTAACTATACCACAGCTTGTTTATCCACTCATCTATTGATGGACACTTGGGCTGTTTCCAGATCTTAGCTCTTGTAAATAGTGCTGCTATGAACATAGGAGTGCATATATTCTTTCTGGTTGGTGTTTTGATATTCTTTTTTTTTTTTTTTAACTCTTCTTTATTGTTGAATGTATTAGATGTCCCTCCTTTTTTTCTCCATTGACCCTCTCCTCCCCAATCCTGCCCTCATCCTGCCTTCCTCACACTATTGTTGGTATCCATTGGTTATGCATATATGCAGAGAAGTTCTTTGGTTTATCTCTTCCCACCCTCTTTCCTCTCTTCCCTTGAGGTTCATCAGTTCAACAACCAATTTGTACTTCTTAATTCCTTCATCTTTTTCACCCATCTCCCCAGCCCCTGCCCCATCTGGCAAGCGACAAAAAGTTCTCTGTATCTATGAGTCTGTTTCTGTTCTGTTTGCTTATTTTTTTGTAGATTCAATTGTTGATAGATATGTATTAATTGCCATTATAATGTTCATATTTTTGTTCTTCTTCACGTTCAAGAAAACCCTTCAACATTTCTTGTAATATTGGTTTGGTGGTGATGAATTCCTTTAGCTTTTCCTTGTCTGGGAAACTCAAGATATGCCCAACTATTCTAAATGATAGCTTTGCAGGATAGAATAATCTTGGTTGCAGGTCATGGCTTTTCATCATTTTGAATATCTCTTGCCACTTCTTTCTGGCCTGCAAAGTTTCTTTTGAGAAATCAGCTGACACTCTTACGGGAGCTCCTTTGTAGGTAACGGACTGCTTTTCTCTTGCTGCTTTTAAGATTCTCTCTTTGTCTTTAACCTTTGGCACTTTGGTGCTGATGTGTCTTGGTGTGGCCCTCTTTGGGTTAATCTAGTTTGGGACTCTCTGTGCTTCCTGGACTTGTATGTCTGTTTCCTTCAAGTTAGGGAAGTTTTCTGTCATTATTGTTTCAAATAGGTTTTCAATATCTTGCTCTCTCTTCAGGCACCCCTATGATGTAAATGTTGGCATGCTTGAAGTTGTCCCAGAGGCTCCTAACACTATTCTCATTTTTTTGGATTCTTTTTTCTTTTTGCCATTCTGATTGGGTGTTTTCTGCTTCCTTATTGTTGTAACCCAGGAGAATCAACCTCACTTGGACACAAAGTAATTTTGAATATTAGGAGCTTTATTACCTGCGCAGGGACTGCAGCCAACCTTTGCAGAGGAGAACTGCAGCACCCCGTAGCAGACTTTCAGCCCCTCCCCCCCTTTTTTTTATCCTCACCCGAGGACATTTTCCCATTTTTTGTTCAGGGAGAGTGGGAGGGAGAGAGAGGAACAGAGAGAGAGAGAGAGAAACATCGATGTGAAAGAAACACATCGAGTGGTTTGCACCCGCACAACTGACCAGGGCCGGGGACAAACTGCAACCGAGGTATGTGCCCTTTGTGGGAACCGAACCCGGGTCTCTCAGGACCGCAGGCCGACGAGTGCCCTTTGCAATGCATGATTGCTACCCTCTGTGGGAGCCAGATGGCTTCTAATAGGGCTAGGATTTCTTCCTTATTTTTGATTTCCTTGCCAGAGGAGGTAAGGAGACCCCTCTTCTGGTAGAGGGAACCATGAATATGAGCCGTTGCAAAGGCATAGTGGCTGTCAGTATAGATGTTTGCTGTCTTTCCTCGTGCCCATCTTAAGGCTTGCGCCAGGGCAATTAGTTCAGCCCATTGGGCAGAAGTTCCTCATGGTAGGGCCTGTGCCCAAATAATGTCTGTCCGAGTGGTGATTGCTGCCCCCGCTGGTCTGGCCCCTTCTTTCAGATAGCTGCTGCCGTCTGTGAATAGTTCAAATTCAGCCTCAAGGAGCGGGATGTCAGTGAGGTCTGGTCTGGACCCCGTAAGGGTGTCTAGGCTCTCAAAACAGTCGTACAGTGGCTCCTTGGGGTCATCATCTGGCATGAGGGTGGCTGGGTTCAGGACTGAGGCCTTGGAGAAAGTTATGTGTGGTGGGTTTAGGAGTAGAACCTGATACTGAGTGATCCTCGTGTTTGAGATCCACCGGTCCGGCGGGCCCCTTCAGAGGGCTTCTGTGTGTGGCCCCCATAGTCTGCAGGTCCTGTCCTAAAGTTAACTTCTGAGCTTCTTTGACTAAGAGCTCTGTGTCTGCAAT